ATCATCTACGATTCTTTTTGGCGGCTCCCCCGTGTTTGCCTATGGAGCGACTGCCCAGCCAGTGTGTGGACCAATTACTGTGTAATGTGCTGGAGCATGCTTGGAGCATGTGGGCTGCTTGGTAGAGAACTGAAGCTGCATTCTTGCCTATGGAGCGACTGCCCAGCCAGTGTGTGGACCAATTACTGTGTAATGTGCTGGAGCATGCTTGGAGCATGTGGGCTGCTTGGTAGAGAACTGAAGCTGCATTCAGTTCTTGTAGAAGGAAATGCGCCTGTTAGAGTAGGGCCTGCAGAGATCCGTCTGGCAGCAGAAGTGTGGAGCTACCACGACCCTAGGGGCTCTGCTGGGGAAGTCTCAGAGGGAGGGCCCTGGGCCTGAGGTGACAGGAATCTACCCCTACGGGGCTATAAAGAGCCTGTTAGCTGAGGTAGCAGTGACAGGGTCTGTGGAACTGCCCTACCTGCAAGTTGGAGATGGGTTCTTTTCAGTTGCCTCGCCTCTGAAGAGGCTCTGCCCCCAAAGAGCATTAACTGATAATATCCTGAAGGGGAGGGAGAAGGCACTCATCTTTGCTGTTGGTGTGGGAGTGGAGCATGGGCACCTAATGAGACCCGGCTCTGTCAGCTCCCATCAAGGGGACCAGATTGGGGCTGATGAAAAGGCCAGATGCTGGTTTATGGATCGGCAGCATCTACCCGTCTGAGGAGCCAAGGGCTACAACAGCTGGACAGGACCTAGAGGCCGGGGCTGGCAGAGCGGGAGACGTCAGTCAGGGAGTGAGCTGGCGGCCTCCTAGCTGAAGACTGACTCTGCCTGTAAGAGGAGAAAGCTCTGTAAAGATGGTCTAGAGCAGAGCTGGGGGACCTTTTTCGGGTCAGGGGCCGCACACAAATCAGTCAGGGGCGAGAAAGACGCTCCCCACATTCCCTTCGCACACCAGAGCCTAGCAGGGGCCCAGGCTAGTAGATTTTGTGTGCTTCAGCCCTGCATGGGGATGGCAGGGGGACTGGTGTGCCAGCATAGGCTCCCCAACGCTGGAAGGGGGAGCCCCAAGGCTCAGGGGCTGGATCCAGGCAAGTTGGGGGCCGTCTCTGGCCCCCAGGCCTTAGGTTACGCACCCTGGTGTAGAGTTTGGCACTGGTGGTGGGACAAGCTAAGATGAAAAAAGACATGGGTGTTGCACAGCACTGCAGTCACTGAGTTTGATCCGGGAGGGGAAGCTGTGCCCAGGAAGGGGGGTTGGTTGTGCACCCCATTACAGTGAGCTTCCTTTGTCTCAAGACAATATTTACAGGAGGTTATAGCTCAGGCTAATTCCTGACCAAACTCCAACACAAGGCCTATTACAGAAGCTAGAGGAGGCCTATTAGATCATCCAGTCTATCTCTCCATAGGAGTGCACCACTGCTCCCTTCCTAGTGTTATGTCCCAAATGAAGGGTCTCCCATCAGCTCCACAATCCAAGGCCATGTCTTCATTTATAACCCTATAGCAGCACACTGTCAGGTGCAGCGCTGGAGTATGTCAGTGTTGACACGCATTACAGCGACGGGAGAGTTTCTTCCATCACTATAGGTAGTAGCTTCATCGAAGTAAGTATTCTTCCTTGCCGAGTCTACACCGTGGATTAGGTTGGCTTCACTGTGGCCTTGCCTTCTCGCTGTGGATGATCAGCACTGCCAGGATCGATCTTCCTGAGTTTGATTTAGTGAGTCTAGTTAAGACTTGTTAAATCGCATTCCGAGGGTGCCCCTATCAGCATCTGGTACTCCTGGTTTTGTGAAGAGTAAGGGAAGCCGACGAGCCTGTTTGCTCCTGTCAGCCTCCCACTGTGGGGATGTTGCCAAACTCATCTTAAGGTAAGCTAACTCCAGCTACACTATTTACATAGCTGGAGTTGTGTACCTTAGGCCAGGACTACACTAGACCTGGCAGCTTGGCTTACGTCTGTCAGGGGATGTGGATTTTTCACACCTTGGCAAGACATAACTGTGTCAATGCAACTTTTCAATGCAGACTATCCCTACTACATCCCACTCTCTGGAAGCTCTGATATTCAATGTACATGTTCCCCACTGTAATCTCATCCATCCCTATGGAAGAAAAGGTCAAACTCATTTCATTTGTGACCTTCACCTGGAAGGGAAGCCAGCTATCTTCTGGGGATTTATTTTCCTCTTGTTCATGCCCAGATGTGAAGCAGTGAAGAAGTCTACATGGCGCCAAATTTCGGAAAAAGTCCTCTTTCGACACATCCCTTCGTCGGCGTAGAACAAGGTTTGCAGGGATGGCGAAAGAGCAGTCCTCTTTCGACAAATCCCTTCGTCGTCGTAGAACAAGGTTTGCAGGGATGGCGAAAGAGCATGTCCGCTTTTCCGGATGTTTTTTCGGAAAAGCAGATGTGTTCCTTGGATGTGGCATTGATTTTCTGGGATACCTCTGGTATCTCAGAAAAGTGTTGCATTCTAGACAGAGCCTTAACTCCTCAAAGCAGGCATCCTCTTTTTACCAAGTGTATGTGCAGCCCCTGGCTCAAAGGGACCTGATCCTAGCTGGATCCTTTGGACACTGTGTGGATTTGTGCTGAGGAAATAAATGCTCCTGCCCTAAATGTTTCCAAATTCCAAACTAGCCCAAACTTTAAAAAGCAAAGCTGTTCATGGAAAAATAGCTGAACCCTTCCATCAAATCCCACACAATGGCTCCTATAATAACTCAGTGTCCTCCTAGCTATTAAAGCACACCCATCTTTCTGTGAGCATGAATTCCTTCACAAAGAGCACAGGAGTAAAATGCAGTGGCACACAATGAAATGGAAAGAAAAAGTTAAGTGTGGGTATGCAGGAAAGACAAAGAAATCCTTCTTTTCATCCTCAGACATGTTTTTCTGCCTGTCACTCTGAAATTATTATTTTTTCCCTCGAGGGAGATTTCCCATGGCACATCCCCCTCCGTTGTGTGAAGGTTCTGGACTGTAGTGACCGGTGTGTAGCAATTAGATCCTGAATCCTAGAACCATGTCACCTAGCTCAAGAAGGTATCAATCCAAGACTGTAGAGTGGAGCCCTGTACCACTGACTGATTTGCACATTCTTTATACCCAGTGCTAAAACAGGGGGAGGAGAAAGGTTAATTTAGGGCTACGTTGTGGGTGTGTCTAGACTACAGGGTTTTGCTGACAAAAGTTGGCTTTTGTCGACAAAACTATACCTGCGTCTACACTACTGCCGCGTTCTGTCGACAGTAAGTCGACAGGATGCAGCTGTTTTGTTGACAGCGGTAAACCTCATTTTACGAGGAGTGATGCCTTTTTTTGAAAGTACTCTTTCGAAAAAAGGCGCTATTGCATGCAAACTGCTTTTTTCGACAGAGAGCGTTTAGACTTGCTTTCAAAAAAGTGGCTTGCTTTGTCGACAGTACGGATCGTCGTCTAGACGCTCTTTTTCGACGGAGGCTTTCTCTGTCGAAAAAGGCGTGCAGTCTAGGCGTAGCCTGTGTGTGTTCACGAGATGCCCTCCACGGATAAGGAAGGGGACCCCAAAGGAAGAGATAGAAATGGGGGGTGGAAGTGGGCTTTTAGCCCAGCTGTTGAGCTCCAACTAGGAGAGGGAAATTAGCATGAGGGAAGGGCACAGTGTGTGGGAGAAGGCGGGGGGGTGAGGAAGGGTTTCTCTTTCTTTCTCTCAGTGCTCAGTTAATCCTGCTGTCAGTTGGTGTTAAGGCAGCAGTCTAAACGCTGGATTCCAAGAGAAGGAGCTGCACAATACAGAAGGCATAGCAGAAGGGAGGCGAGAGAGAGAGACAAGCGGGGAAAAAAAACAAATCCATGCTTGGAACTGAGGTTCTTTTTCGCCAATGCAAAAGGGAATATGCAGCACATTTTTGCCTTCTTCTGCACCAGTTTCCTAGGGACGGTGTTAGGGGCCAATTTCCCCAACAATATCCAGATAGGTGAGTTTGAGATGCTCCGGAGCGGCGGTTCTATTTGGGAGTGACTTTCCCTGGCAAAGCAGCGGGGGGATCTGACCCATTCGCTCCCTCCGCTTGCAGAGAAGGAACGTGTGCCGGAGTGATGTGCGGGGTGGATTTTGATGTGGCTAGAGCCGCGGAGGCTGCCGATGGGCTCCGACGAGCAGGGATGTATCAATTCTTACGGGAGGGAAATCGATGCTGGCACAGAAAAGTGCCTCCGAAATGGAGGAAGCCAAAAATCCTGTTTGTTTGTTTGCTAAGAAAAATACCAGGGCTGGTGCTCTGCATCGGGGTGTGGGTGTAGTTAAGAAAGCACTTATTGCATTTTATTTTTGGCATGGTTTCTCGTGTCTGGAGTACCTGGCAGAGGAAACAGCACTAGAGCATCTCTGTTGTTGTTGTTGTTTGTTGTGAAAGAATAAGGCCAGAGCTAGGAAGATGTTGCATTCTAGTCTGTTTTCATTTCATTCCCCGGCTTTCCTTTTCGCATCAGCAATTCCCCATGTCTTTGTCTTTTGCTCTCCCCAATTCCACATCCCTGGAGCTGCTCACAGCCTTCCCCCACATTATTATGATTGATCATTTGCTTAAATGCCATTGGGAAC